ATCGATTAATTGCCTTGCTGGTGTTATCGATAGTTTTGCAGCGCTATTATACACTACCTACTATGCTCTTTTTTTTTTTTGCCTAACTTTAATTTGTATTCATTAATAAATATTTACTGAAAATATTAACGATTTATCTGAATGTTGTTGTTCCTCTGCTCTAGAGCTGGAAAGTTATCGATAAGTCTGTCGTTTTGAGTGAAATCGGGTTACAGATTGAGAAGATAAGCCATTATCTTATCAGCTTTTCATATCACTCAACTAATCGATTGATTGCCATGTTGTTGTTCTCGATACACGAACTCTAATTTCTATTGTTTAATACATATTAACTTAAAATATGAACAATATATCTCAATGACTTAAATTGCCAAGTTATCGACAAGCCTATCGTTTTGTGTGAAATCAGGGTAGAGGTTGATGCAAAGGGTTTAGTCAAAAAAAGCGATTACTTATCGTTTATTATCGGACAATTGTAGTTTTGTTTTGTGCAGCAATCTATCTTTTTACAGCTTATACACAAATTTTGCCAATATATCCATAGTACTATCGATTAATCTACACCATAGTGTTATCGATAGTTTTGACTATTATTAGTTTCGACTTTTATTAGTCTGATACATAAATACACATATCGATTAATGCATCGATTTGTATATCGATCAGTATTATCGATCAGTATTTTTAATAGTTTTGTCAAATGTCAGACTCTACCTACCCTTACAGGCTGGGGACTCAGTTAGTTATTAATCGATAGACATCATATCGATAAGTTATCAATTAATCGATATATATCATATCGATAAGTTATCGATGATTTGCCAATTTGGGGCTATCGATAGCTTTTGCAGCTCACTTTCGCTGGCAACATTAATTTGTATGCATAAATGAATATTTACTGAACAAGATACTCGATTTGAGAATTTATGGAAATGTCTTTGACAAAGGGTAGGTAGGGATTCTGGGGAAACTTCTGGCTAATAGTAAGCACTGCCTGGTGCTCCGGGCGGGCAGCGAAGCCTACTGCCTGAGTTGTTGGGCAGGAATGTCCATTAATTTGCGCCAACCTGCTGGCAATTTCCTTTAGTTTAGTTTATTTCCGCCAACTGCTTGTGTGCCCATAATAAAGAACAAGCTGGCGCCAACAACAAGCAAATAAACAAAGCGCCAGACAATGCCGTCTCCACAGACACAGAAGAACAAACAGCCCAATCTCCCATTCCAAGAGCCACTCGGCAAAACTGAAACCTATCCGCAAAAATTTGCATAAAAATTAGCATTCTAATTGACATGAGGCCCAAAAATGAACTAACCAGGCGCAGAGACCAGTTAAGCTCTCCCCCTCTCTCTCCCTTTCTCTACCTTTCTGCTCCTCTGGCTGTGTGCGGGGGCGTGTCTCTGTTGGCCATTGTCTTGGCCGTGTTGCTTAGGCGTCGAGTTAATTGTTTGTTTAGTGTCATAAAAATACAGTTTACGCCTTTCGCAACAACACGTGCAGACGCGGCCGCAATTACAGATACGAATGCGAATCGCATGGAGCAGTTCTTCAGCCGACGCAGCACGACTGCCAAATACCCTGTAACTAGATGGATGAACGTACAGACGAGCAGTTGCTGGGTAAGTTTTAACAAAAAGTTATTTTAAGTAAAAACAAGAGGAAATTAACGGGCATTGCGCGGCTCACTTATTTTATGATTGATATCTATTTATTTGTATTTTTTTAAATTAAAGTTTATGCTCTTCAGATCTCTCAGCCGGAGTCTGTCATTGATATAGCTTTAAATAGCGCTCCTTTTCTCCGGCTGCGACATACCTTTCCCCCAGCTTATAGTACCCACTCAGGTTGGCTCTGACGCACAGGGTATAACAATGGCAACGTATTGGGCCACGTGCAAACAAAAGGGTCGCAGCAGACAATGTTGTCGCTGGGAAAACTTTTAACTTTTACAAACTTAATTGCTGCCTGCTCGCTGGGGCGCAACGTGCTCTAAATATAAGTAAAAAGCACAAGCATATCCAGGAGCCAGGAGCCAGTAGCCAGGCACAAGGATCTGGCGTCTGGCTTGCTGACCAATAAAAAAAGGGGTGCGTTGTCAAGACGGGCATCGCTTAAAGTGTTCGCCAGAAACGCTTTGTTCTTTGGACAGCATTTAATAATAAATTTAATAGAATTAAATTACTTTAAAAACACTTTAAACTGTGTTTCGGCTGATTGAAGCCACGCATAATTGAATTTGCGGCAATTCCTTTTAAAGTCAGCTCAGAAGAATGCCAAATAATGAAATGAAATGAAAGAATACAAATTTGATGGGATATGGCTTTATATGACAAAAGCGAAAGGAATAGAAGGAAATTAAGACTATCCCGCCTTGAGCTAAGCCAAAAGAAATCTGTATTCTTGTATATCTCCATCGGGAATAAGTTGACAAACGAAGGTTTCAAATAAATCGGAGACACGAACCCTGTTTAAAGGCGATTTGAACCAGCGACCTCTAAACTAACTTGTTGAAATCGATTTGTTTATCTAGTAGCTTTGCCCTTTGCCAAAACGTTGATTGTATTGGATCAAAAGTAACATACACATTAGCTTGGATAATGCTTCGCCAAGCCTGGTTAAGTCAAACGGGTCAAAAGCTGAGTTGTATTTGGCTAAAATAATTTTGTTTGGCATTTTTATATGTACATACTAACAACTAGTTAAGTATTTGTAAGCAACAACATCTGCAGCTACTTTAGGTGTACATGTTCCTCAGCTAGAAGATGAGCTGAGTCAATCAAGCCATGTTGTGGGCCTGGGCCAAGAATGCGTCCATGTCGGAAACCAGAAGAGCTAAAGACTTGAAATTTGTTATATATATTCTCCTGTGCAGTATGCAAAACGAGCTTATCATCTTTTTACTACATCTCCATTCATGGAATCGATAAATATCGATTTAAAGACATTCATTTTGAAGGGATAATAATCAATGCCTAAAGGCAAAGCCTTGCGCTTTGGTATCTGCACACTTTCTGATGCCCCTTCCTAAGCACTGAAAATGTTATGAAGATCGGACTTTAGGCACCGAAGTAAATAAAGAATGCTTTCCTCAAAGAGAGGGCAGAGTATGTGGGTAGAGGAGGGTTCGGCAGGGCATCTTCTGGTCGGCCACTTGCGAGCTGAGCCCTTGACTTGTTTATTGCGTTATTTTCTGTTAGTATCGGAATTTAAATTTAAAAGAACATTTCTCGGCATTGCTAATTGAGTTGAACACGTATTTCATTATTTATAATTACTTTGTCACGCATAAATAGCATATATATATGTAAATTTTGTATGCAATTAATGCATTCAAATTGAGAGTTCGATTCAGCCCAAATAGACGCGACAGCGACAACGGGAGCTCCATTTCATTTTAATTGTTGAATTATTAATTATTTTGGAAAAAAAAGCAAAAACAAATAAACAAATTATAAATTATACAAATACACACAATTTTCTTTTTATACCCTGAACCCATTGAAAATGGGTAAAAGGGGTATAATGTATTTGTGCAAATGTATGTAACAGGCAGAAGGAAGCATCTCCGACCCCATAAAGTATATATATTCTTGATCAGCATCAATAGCCGAGTCGATCTCCGTCCGTATGTATGAACGCAAGGATCTCAGATCCTATAAGAACTAGACCCTAGAAATTTTAGCTGTTGGTCCTCCTAGTCCCCGAGCAGATCGAGTTGTTTTCCGATAGTCGATAACTTGCCCCGTTTCCAAGTAATCGATAAAAATCGATTTCGAAATCCTGTTTTTTGAGCAATTTCGGTCAATAATATGAGCTAGAGTTACCAAACTTGACATGTAGCTTCTAAAATAGTATATATATATCGAGTATCTTTCATTTTATATCGCCTGTCGGAAAAAGAGGATACAGGGTATCCTCTAGTCGGGAGCTCCCGACTAGAACCTCTGACTTGTTTTTTTTGGTGTGCTTTGATAAAAGTTTTTAACGGCATTCGATTACTGTATAATGATCCGATCCGATGGAAGTTCATATGACAGAGACAGAGAGACAGATGTCCCAGGTTATATCGACTCGGCTGTTGATGCTGATCAGGACTATATATATACTTTATGGGGAGAGACAGTATTACTTTGTCATCTAACGAGGACTACTTTTAAGGTATAGCTCTCATCTCTTCTTCTCACTCTTCTCTCTTCTAAAATCTTGTGCTATGAATGGAGATAAAATAAAATGCGTACAACGCTGCGTATACGCAACTTCTCATATACTTTATGGCGAAAGACTGCTTCACTTTGCCCTCAAACGAAGACTGATTTAAAGATATAACTCTTCTCTTTTCTTTGCTTCTTCTCTCTTCTAAAATCTTGATCAATGAATGGAAATAAAATAAAGTGCGTGTAACGCTGCGTATACGTAACTTCTGAAGAGCTGCACTAATCAAGGGTGTCTCTTCCTGGCCATGCCTACAATTTAGTTATGGATCATAGCTGGTTGGTGAAATGAAATGAAATTCAATCTATAGTAATAATTGCCTTAGCAGCTACTCCGACGGTCAACAAAATAGCGTCCAGGCAGAACGTGACATTTGATGGCTGAGACTTTGGGATTGCATTGGAAATTGATTGTTGGGCAAAATAATGAAATGCATCCGTTGCCAAGAAAATAGCGAGAAGTTGCGGCAGTTTGGATTGCTTCTTAGGCAAACACTTCAAGTTGAACGGCAAATAAATATTCAAAATGCAATTATGCATGGAATTCGCTGGCACTTATCGTGGCGTTTTGCCCACTTGCTGTTGTTGTTGTTGGCAAACTTATTTAACTTTTTACGATGTCATTTGGCAAAAGTTTGTAATCATTTTTCGTTAGTGCAGTACTTCAAAAATGCGATGAGTGGAGGCGAAGCCAAAGAATGGAATTGCTAAGAAATTATTTATACGATTTTACAGACAGCTTCAAGTGCTTGCCACGCCCCGTTCGGCCATATAAATAAAGCGCCAGTGCCGTGGGCCACAGCCACAGCCAAGTTAGCGGCAACCGTATTCGCACATCCGCACACCCGGACATCCGCACATCCGCACCACCGGACATCCGCAATATTCGCTGCAAGTGGAAGTTTTTTGGGATTTTCGTTGCAAACTTTTCTGGAGTATTAGCGCGTGGCGTGGAATGAAACTTTTACTTTTCTTGAAGGCCCTGTTGCTGCTGCTGGCGGCGCAGCTGGCGGCGCAGCTGGCGGTTGCCCAGACCCAACCGGAGGCAGCAAGTTAGCCCCACAGCAACGCGTCTGGCGCAACTCCTTTAATTTGTTGTTTGCTTTTTTTTCTTCTTACGGTTTACTTGCAGCAAACACAGGCAAGTCGCAATCCCGACCGCAGTCCAAGTACTGCAAGTCCTTTGATAACGCCGGTAAGTACTCGCCGCAGTCGACAACCTGTCCCGACCAACAACTTCGTTCTTATGCCCAAACTGCAGCCGTGGGCGCCAACAATCTGTGCGAGAAACATCGCTTCCTAACCTACTCCAAGTGCCGTTTCGAATGCACCCCCACGCACCACCTGAGGTGAGCAGCGGCATTCCGCTTTGGGCCTGATCGCAGCAGCTAATTTAGGTTTTTGTTTTGCGTGCAGCGTTCAGAACTGTTCGGTTCATATATTGGGCAAGCACAGTTATCCAAAGTGCGATGACATCTACTGCGTGCCGGATGAAACTGGAGCAGGTACAACATCTAGACCGACCACCGGACAGCCACGCCCGACTCCGACAACACCAAAGACGACCACGACAGAACAAAACCATGTACCACCTTCGACGCCGGCTCACGAACCACCGAATCATTCTGGAAATGGTCCCATAACAGATTCCGCAGGAAAAAGCTCTACTCTGATTTGGGAAGCTACAGGTGGAACAATTTCACATGAAAGTACGAAAGCGTTTACTGCGGAGTCCTCAGAAAAAATATATTCTACGAAAACAAGTAAAATTGAGACAACAAAGCCGACAACATCCTCATCAACTGACACCAGCTGGGAGTCAAGTACAGCTTACACAGAGATCATAAATGAGAAAACCTCATCAGAAATTCCAGCAACAGATATCGCACAAAAGTCATCTTCTTCAGTACTACCTGAAACCAGTTCTACGGAACTACCTGGAACAAGTACCTCGGAACAGTCAACACCTTTCCCAACAAGCTCAACTGTGGAAGACATAACTTCCAATTCAAAATCTTCTGTTGGCACTCCTGTGACTGATATAGGAGAGGAATCATCTTCTACAGTACTACTTGGAAGCAGTACCTTGGAACAGACAGCATCTTCCCTATCGGGCTTAACAATGGAAGACACTACTACTGTTTGGGAATCATCTGTTGGCACTACTGTGACCGATATAAGGAAGGAATCATCTTCCACAGAACTCCCTGGAACTAATATCTCGGAACAGTCCACACCTGCTCAAACAGGCTCAACTGTGCGTGATATTACTTCCAATTCAGAAACTTCTGATAGCACTGCTGCGATTGATAAAGGGAAGGCATCATCTTCTTCTGAACTACCTCGAACCAGTTCCTCGGAACAGTCAACACCTTCTGGAATAGGCTCAACTGTGGGAGATATAACTTCCAATACGGAATCATCTGTTGGAACTCCTGTGACTGCTATAGGAGAGGCATCATCTTCTTCAGAATTACCTGGAACCCTTTCCACGGAACAGTCAACACCTTCTGGAGCAGGCTCAACTGTGGGAGACATAACTTCTAATTCGGAATCTTCTGTTGGCACTTCTCTGACAGCTATAGGAGAGGAATCATCTTCCTCAGAGTTACCTGGAATCAGTTCCTCAGAGCAATCCACATCTTCCTCGTCGGGATCAACTGTGGGAGACATAACTTCTAATTCGGAATCTTCTGTTGGCACTCCTGTGACTACTATAGGAGAGGCATCATCTTCTTCAGAATTACCTGGAACCCTTTCCACGGAACAGTCAACACCTTCTGGAGCAGGCTCAACCGTGGGAGACATAACTTCCAATACGGAATCATCTGTTAGCACTTCTATGACAGCTATAGGAGAGGAATCATCTTCCTCAGAGTTACCTGGAATCAGTTCCTCAGAGCAATCCACATCTTCCTCGTCGGGATCAACTGTGGGAGACATAACTGCCAATTCGGAATCTTCTGTTGGCACTCCTGTGACTGCTATAGGAGAGGCATCATCTTCTTCAGAATTACCTGGAACCCTTTCCGCGGAACAGTCAACACCTTCTGGAGCAGGCTCAACTGTGGGAGACATAACTTCCAATTGGGAATCTTCTGTTAGCACTCCTGTGACAGCTATAGGTGAGGAATCATCTTCTACAGTACTACTTGGAAGTAGTACCTTGGAACAGACAGCATCTTCCCTATCGGGCTTAACAATGGAAGACACTACTACTGTTTGGGAATCATCTGTTGGCACTACTGTGACCGATATAAGGAAGGAATCATCTTCCACAGAACTCCCTGGAACTAATATCTCGGAACAGTCCACACCTGCTCAAACAGGCTCAACTGTGCGTGATATTACTTCCAATTCAGAAACTTCTGATAGCACTGCTGCGATTGATAAAGGGAAGGCATCATCTTCTTCTGAACTACCTCGAACCAGTTTCTCGGAACAGTCTACACCTTCTGGAATAGGCTCAAATGTGGGAGATATAACTTCCAATACGGAATCATCTGTTGGAACTCCTGTGACTGCTATAGGAGAGGCATCATCTTCTTCAGAATTACCTGGAACCCTTTCCACGGAACAGTCAACACCTTCTGGAGCAGGCTCAACCGTGGGAGACATAACTTCCAATACGGAATCATCTGTTAGCACTTCTATGACAGCTATAGGAGAGGAATCATCTTCCTCAGAGTTACCTGGAATCAGTTCCTCAGAGCAATCCACATCTTCCTCGTCGGGATCAACTGTGGGAGACATAACTGCCAATTCGGAATCTTCTGTTGGCACTCCTGTGACTGCTATAGGAGAGGCATCATCTTCTTCAGAATTACCTGGAACCCTTTCCGCGGAACAGTCAACACCTTCTGGAGCAGGCTCAACTGTGGGAGACATAACTTCCAATTGGGAATCTTCTGTTAGCACTCCTGTGACAGCTATAGGTGAGGAATCATCTTCTACAGTACTACTTGGAAGTAGTACCTTGGAACAGACAGCATCTTCCCTATCGGGCTTAACAATGGAAGACACTACTACTGTTTGGGAATCATCTGTTGGCACTACTGTGACCGATATAAGGAAGGAATCATCTTCCACAGAACTCCCTGGAACTAATATCTCGGAACAGTCCACACCTGCTCAAACAGGCTCAACTGTGCGTGATATTACTTCCAATTCAGAAACTTCTGATAGCACTGCTGCGATTGATAAAGGGAAGGCATCATCTTCTTCTGAACTACCTCGAACCAGTTCCTCGGAACAGTCAACACCTTCTGGAATAGGCTCAACTGTGGGAGATATAACTTCCAATACGGAATCATCTGTTAGCACTTCTCTGACAGCTATAGGAGAGGAATCATCTTCCTCAGAGTTACCTGGAATCAGTTCCTCAGAGCAATCCACATCTTCCTCGTCGGGATCAACTGTGGGAGACATAACTGCCAATTCGGAATCTTCTGTTGGAACTCCTGTGACTGCTATAGGAGAGGCATCATCTTCTTCAGAATTACCTGGAACTAGTACCTCGAAACAGTCAACACCTTCGGGAATAGGCTCAACTGTGGGAGACATAACTTCTAATTCGGAAACTTCTGTTGGCACTCCTGTGACTGCTATAGGAGAAGCATCATCTTCCTCAGAGTTACCTGGAATCAGTTCCTCAGAGCCATCCACATCTTCCTCGTCGGGATCAACTGTGGGAGACATAACTGCCAATTCGGAATCTTCTGTTGGAACTCCTGTGACTGCTATAGGAGAGGCATCATCTTCTTCAGAATTACCTGGAACTACTACCTCGAAACAGTCAACACCTTCTGGAGCAGGCTCAACTGTGGGGGACATAACTTCCAATTCGGAATCTTCTGTTGGAACTCCTGTGACTGCTATAGGAGAGGCATCATCTTCTTCAGAACTACCTGGAACTAGTACCTCGAAACAGTCAACACCTTCTGGAACAGGGTCAACTGTGGGAGACATAACTTCCAATTCGGAATCTTCTGTTGGAATTCCTGTGACTGCTATAGGAGAGGCATCATCTTCTTCTGAACTACCTCGAACCAGTACCTCGAAACAGTCAACACCTTCTGGAGCAGGCTCAACTGTGGGGGACATAACTTCCAATTCGGAATCTTCTGTTGGAACTCCTGTGACTGCTATAGGAGAGGCATCATCTTCTTCAGAACTACCTGGAACTAGTACCTCGAAACAGTCAACACCTTCTGGAACAGGCTCAACTGTGGGAGACATAACTTCTAATTTGGAATCTTCTGTTGGCACTCCTGTGACTGCTATAGGAGAGGCATCATCTTCTTCTGAACTACCTCGAACCAGTTCCTCGGAACAGTCAACACCTTCTGGAATAGGCTCAACTGTGGGAGACATAACTTCCAATACGGAATCATCTGTTAGCACTTCTGTGACAGCTATAGGAGAGGAATCATCTTCCTCAGAGTTAACTGGAATCAGTTCCTCAGAGCAATCCACATCTTCCTCGTCCGGATCAACTGTGGGAGACATAACTGCCAATTCGGAATCTTCTGTTGGCACTCCTGTGACTGCTATAGGAGAGGCATCATCTTCTTCTGAACTACCTCGAACCAGTTCCTCGGAACAGATAACACCTTCTGGAATAGGCTCAACTGTGGGAGACATAACTTCCAATACGGAATCATCTGTTAGCACTTCTGTGACAGCTATAGGAGAGGAATCATCTTCCTCAGAGTTACCTGGAATCAGTTCCTCAGAGCAATCCACATCTTCCTCGTCTGAATCAACTGTGGGAGACATAACTGCCAATTCGGAATCTTCTGTTGGCACTCCTGTGACTGCTATAGGAGAGGCATCATCTTCTTCAGAATTACCTGGATCCCTTTCCACGGAACAGTCAACACCTTCTGGAATAGGCTCAACTGTGGGAGACATAACTTCCAATACGGAATCATCTGTTAGCACTTCTGTGACAGCTATAGGAGAGGAATCATCTTCCTCAGAGTTACCTGAAATCAGTTCCTCAGAGCAATCCACATCTTCCTCGTCTGAATCAACTGTGGGAGACATAACTGCCAATTCGGAATCTTCTGTTAGCACTCCTGTGACTGCTATAGGAGAGGCATCATCTTCTTCTGAACTACCTGGAACTAGTACCTCGAAACAGTCAACACCTTCTGGAACAGGCTCAACTGTGGGAGACATAACTTCCAATTCGGATTCTTCTGTTGGAACTCCTGTGACTGCTATAGGAGAGGCATCATCTTCTTCAGAATTACCTGGAACTAGTACCTCGAAACAGTCAACACCTACTGGAGCAGGCTCAACTGTGGGAGACATAACTTCTAATTTGGAATCTTCTGTTGGAACTCCTGTGACTGCTATAGGAGAGGCATCATCTTCTTCAGAATTACCTGGAACCCTTTCCACGGAACAGTCAACACCTTCTGGAGCAGGCTCAACTGTGGGAGACATAACTTCCAATACGGAATCATCTGTTAGCACTTCTGTGACAGCTATAGGAGAGGAATCATCTTCCTCAGAGTTACCTGGAATCAGTTCCTCAAAGCAATCCACATCTTCCTCGTCGGGATCAACTGTGGAAGACATAACTTCCAATTTGGAATCTTCTGCTAAAACTTCTGTGACTGATATAGGAGAGGAATCTTCTTCTACAAAACTAGCTGGAACTAGTACGTCGGAACACTCAACATCTTCTCCATCGGGCTTATCCATGGAAGATACTACTACAATTTGGGTATCATCAGTTGGCACTGCTGTGACTGACTTAACTGGAAATATTTCCTCAGAACAGTCAACACTTTCGACATCGGGCTCAACTATGGAAAACATTACTTCCATTTGGGAATCATCAGCTAGCACAGCTGGGACAGATGTTGCGCAGGAGATATCTTCTACGGATTTACCTAGAACCAGTTTCACGGAGAAGTCAGCACCTTTTTCAACAGGCTCAACTGCTGACACTTCATCTACTTGGAAGTCATCGGTTAGCACGGCTGCTTCCAAAATCACGGAGGTGGAAACCAATGAATTGCCAGAGGAATCAACTTCTGCAGAGTCACTCGGAACCATTTCATCAGAATCTATTACGTCTTCAACAAAAGGTATCTCCGAGGAAACTTCTATTTTGACCACGATAATTGGACCTACTGGAAGCAGTTGGTCAAATCGCAATGAACCGGACAGTTTTACACAACAGTACACTTGGACCACAGGTGACCCATACACAGATCGTACTGACTCAACCTGGACGCCTCACTGTAAACTGGTTTGCGGTTGAGTGGGGAATGAATTAAATGTAATTTCGATTTGGATTTCTTACAGATCTTAAGAATGCTGATGCCTCGACTGCTGAAGATTTTTTTAGATATTTTTATTATTAATACGTTGCACGTACTTTTAAACTGTACAACTTATTTTTCTGGTGTTGGGTAATAAACCAAATATATATATATATATTCACAATAGACCCTTGCTCCAAATGTTGTCCTTTGCAGGAAAAGGTAGAAACCAAATTTTTTAAGCTATTTTTATACCCTGAACCCATTGAAAATGTGTAAAAAGGGTATAATGTATTTGTGTATGTAACACCCAGGAGGAACCATCTCTGACCTCATAAGGACCATATATTCTTTATCAGTATCAATAGCCGAGTCGGTCCGTTCTTTCTGTCTTTCTTTCCGTCCTTCCGTCCGTCTTTCCGTCCGTCTTCCCGTTCTTCCGTCCGTGCGTCCGTCCTACCGTCCGTGCGTCCGTCCTACCGTCCGTCCTACCGTCCGTCCTACCGTCCGTCCTACCGTCCGTCCTACCGTCCGTCCTACCGTCCGTCCTACCGTCCGTCCTACCGTCCGTCCTACCGTCCGTCCTACCGTCCGTCCTACCGTCCGTCCGTCCTTCCGTCCTTGCGTCCTACCGTCCGTCTGTCCTTCCGTCCGTCTGTCCTTCCGTCCGTCCGTCCTTCCGTCCGTCCGTCCGTTCGTCCTTCCGATAACTTTCGATAACTGGCCCCGTCGCAGAATAATGCTGCCAGATTTAGATGCCAAATTGATCAAGAGGCCAAGTCAAGTCGGGAACTCCCGACTAGAGCCTCTTACCTGTGAATCATATAAAAAGTGCCGTTATTTCTAGTATTGGCTAGCACATAAATATGAATACACAACGAACCGTTAGCGTTTTCTTTTTGACTCAAAAACTTTAAATAAATAGATCCCAACTTATCAATATTTTATATATTATGTCTGTAGAAAAACCTTTAAAAGGAGCTCAGAGCTTGGTTCACAAGTCTTCTAACACTTTTATTAACTAGTGTTGGGTAACAAAATCAATTCAAAGGTATGCCCAGTGGAGAAATATAAATGTGTAAAAAGAAAGTATAAAACAGCCGAAACCCAAATGCAAAAAGCTTTCAATCTCTTTAAAAGGAAGTGCATTTACGTTTGGTAGTGTTGGGTGATTTTTGCTGCTTGCGGCATCAGAAAAAATTCAAAAGCTGATTAGAGCTTAATTCAAGCAGCTTTCAACTAACTAAAAGTAAATGCGCTAATGACTGCAAAGGCCACGCCCACCCAACAATACCAGCTGCAAAGTGCATTCCATTCGAATGCTCAGTTTAAATACTCTTCTTTTCTCTTTTACTCTATGTGATATACATATTCTTCTAGGTCCTTTACAAATATTACTTCTCAGCTTAAGCGCAGAAACATATCGCAAATCTGTTTTTATCTGTATAGCTTCTCGAAGAACCTGCCGATTACAAGAGCAACAGACGTTGCCTTCAGCTGTTCGACGCATAAACTCTTTGGGAATTTTAACGCATCAAGCGACAAAACCAACATAAACTCAACATTGAGGAGCCTCACAAAGCTTCTAGTTGAGCAATCCGTTTTTAAAGGCTAGGTATTTAGTGTTCGGCTTCTTGTGGTTAATTTTTCTTGATGTTTTTCGTTGGGAAAAGTTTCTGGCGAGTTTTTGGCATTTTTTTTTTTTTGTGGGGCCAAACTCTTGAGTATTAGGTTTGCTGGCTTACAGAAGACTTGTAGCCAGAGTTTCAGAACTGTAAATACACAATTTAGTGCTAGATTCCAAGTTCCCCCGCCGCCCACTTACCTCCCCTCCCTCTCACTTTCCCTGTTGTGGCACCGGCTGCACTTGACATTTGGTGTGTATTTTTTTCTAGTTCAGCTTTAACTGGGCGACAATTATGACAATTTGGCGGATGGCACTGTGCTGTCCATGATCCGAGCGTGAGTGTATTCAAACTTGTATTCATATTCAAGCTAGGCTAGGAGGGTTGAGGAAGCGCGGGGGGGGGGGGGGTGGGGACGTTAATCTTGAGCGAATGTAAAAAGCAAAAATTTGCATTCGCATAGTTTTTTGTTGTTTGTTTGTTTGTTTTGTTGATTTAATCAAGTGCTGCGGCCAATTTAGCGACACGCACACACACACACACACACACACACGCACACACACTTGCGAGGCGGCACTACGTTGCGTATACGTAATGCCGAGCAGCTTTTAGCGGCCGCTTGCTGGGACCCGTGGTGTGAGTTGGGCGCGTAGTTGCCGCACATCAGTCGCCCGCCTCGCACAGTCCGCAATACACACACAGCGTAGATAGATATAGATACATACACACATATATATACATATATATATATAGAGAGAGAGATAGAGCCACAGAGTGGAGGATGTATGTGATGCAGTTGGTCGGGAGCCTGGCCGTGTGCCTCCTGGTCTGGCTGTGCAGCTGCGACGCCTTTGGCCAGTTCCACATGAAGCGCTATCATCTGCAGCGCGGCTACAGCGCCGACGATTCCAGCGAGAGCGACAATAGCGTGTTGCGTGAGTATTGCTGGCTGGAGAGGATGCACCTGGCGCTCGACTGACAGCCGCTCGACTTCTTCATCTTCTTCAACAGGCACCTATCGCCGCTGCATGTGGGAGCAATCGAAGTTCCTGCCACGCCGGCTCGTCCTCCTGAGCCTCTGCTCGAACCTGTTCTGCGAGAACAATCAGATAATGCCGCGTTCCAGGTCTATTTTCGTAGTGGAAAAAATATCTAGACCGAACGAGTAGTGCCAAATGAATAGATTTTCTAGTCGCATGCCAATCCAAATGCATGCCAACAGCCCCAATCCAACCACACCCCCACCCCCCCCCCCCCCCCCCCCCCCCACCTCTTACGTCCTGCTAATGCGAAATTCTCATACTTCTCTTTTACGCCCAGCTGCCTGGACATACTGCCGGAGCAGTGCGAGCAGGGCGATGAGGAGGATCTGATGTACAAGCCCTTTCCGGACTGCTGTCCCGTCTATTGCAACCTTAAGCGGCGCATGCAACGCCTCAGGACAATGCATCTCCGACATCGCCTCCTGCGCAATCTGCAGGACTCTGTCGTTTCTGCCGCAGCCGCCGCCGGCTCCGCCGATGGCAACACGCTCCTCAGCGAGATTGGCTACAACTACTGATGCAGCAGCAGCAGCAGCAGCAGCAGCAGCTGACATTACAAATTGTTAACTTTGTTGCTCCAAATATAGGCGGATAACAAACAGCTGATTGGCAATTGGGACTCTTTTTGTGTTTGGTGTATTTCTGATTGGGATTTGGCATTCGAATTGGACTTGGTCTGCGTCTAGACAACACACTTCAAGTGTGGCCAAGAAACCGAAAGACAAGTGTATTTTGCTCTAGCGAATATTGAATACCCTAGCTTGTACATATTATGCCCCGGTTATGCCCAGCCGGGGCAGTCTTTTTGCATTTCAAATCGTCTAGACAAATATTTAAATATGGTATAAAGATTATGATTGTAGCCTGGGAAGCTCGGCTTTCTTTGAGCAACTCCTAGTCCTAGTCTAGCTACTTATCTAGGGTTTGAACCAGCAACCTCACCATGTCACTCACTTCTAGCCATGAGTGCTTCGATAATTGGGTCTGAAGTATTAATTTTGCGAAGTGAATATCTCTGGGCATCTCCTAGTCGAGCACTCTTATCTAGAGCACGCTTTAGCCTTGGATTTGAACCATCTACCTTCTTTTTAATCGAGTGACTCACACTGAACACATACGATCAAATAATTCGCCTTAATTTACATCAATGATTTATGTAGATAATAAACTATTCTTGGAAGCTGGAGTAGCTAAGATTTGAACCAGCGACCTTTGACAGTTTATTTAGCGATAAGTGCCTGAATAATGAAGTCATATCATTTATCAGATTTGAACCAGTGACCTCCCTTAATAAAAAAGTGTCTTTATCAGTTAGTCAGCTAATCAATCAATTCAAGCAGGATTAGGATTACGATTAAGATTTGAACCAGCGACCTCACTAAATGGTTAAGTGTCTTTATCAATCGAAAAGACTTCCTGTTATAAGGACTAAGCACATTCTGATTTACCACTCAAATGAACACTGACAAATACCCTTTGTTAGGGTATTTAGAGCCCAATAACTTTGTCACTCGAGACACTCGCTGACAGTTGCCGGCTGCTCCCGTGAGTGGCATTGTCAAGTGGCCAGCCCAGGGATGGGTGGGGCATGTCCAAGTAGCCTTTGCTGGATCTGTGGAGTCTCCAGCGAGTGGCTCATTAAGCTGGTCGCTTATTTGCATTGCTTTTGCGCACCTTTAATTGCATTTTGTCTTTTGTCTAGTTGCCTGTTTAGATTCCGCTTCCGCTTCCGCTTCCCCATCCGCTTCCGGCTCGGGCAGCCTGGCTCCGTCCTTGGATCCCTTTTGTGCACTGGCTTTATGGCTTTATGATGCTGCAGCTACTGTTGCAGCAATATTCTTTATGTTCTGGCGCTATCGCCGCTTATCGTTTTAACACTTTTACGTGCCACACACAGCTGCAGTGGCGCCCCCTGGCAGCTGGCGGTCTAAGCAACTTGCGCTCGCTAGCGTCTGTCTTCATTTTTATCAGCAAACAAGCAATAAATTTTATTTTAATAAGCAACACTTTTGATAGCCATGCCTCGCCCTCGGCTGGGTAGCGTCTCCTGGCTGCCATCCCGGCCGATATCCTTGCCAACGTTGCTGTCGCATGTTGCATGTGGCGCAGAAGTAAATACAAAAGATACAACTCGGCATTATCAGCTCTCGCCATAATGTTGCGGTTGCACGCCAGTGGCGCCACCTAGCGGGGTTCCACGCAACTTACAGACAGATTTGATTCCATTCTAAAAAAGAAAATCGCTCTATGTAGTCCTGGACATATTTGAATAGCATAAGGAATAAGGCATATACTTAAGCGGTAAGGAAAATATTAAATACTCCTGCGAGGAGGAGACTTTCGGAGCTCGACAGAATCCTTTATAAAGCTTTACATTAAAGCAGTCCAATGCTGATGTATAAAGAAGGTCAAGTTAGCTCGAAGAACGTTAAGAAATACAATAACTTCACTTCCGACCAATCGTTCCCATGTATAGTACCACGATCCGAGCCAATCTATTGCCTGAAGGAGCAAGAAA